GCCTTGTGGGACTTGAGACATTGCCGGGTGAGCATTGTCAGATAGGTAGCGAAGGCGGGCTGTGGCAAAGCTAGTAGCGATGGCCTCCACCCTAGTAGCATGTTTAGCACCTGGCCTGGATCTTCCTTGATGTTGAAGCCTGTCTAAACTAACCCCGATCCTCAGTGGTAGCCTGGCCACATTGAGAAGGACCTTTAAGCTGTTGCCAGCAAAGGTGACACCCAGAAGGTTGCAAACGACACAAGTTAGGCCGTCACTATTCCTTTTTTCATTCAACAAGCTTGATGCTTTGAACCCTATACCAGGAACCCCTGTATCACACCTATTGTACACTTTGCTGTTGAAAAAGAACAGCACTCTATTGCATCCGTCGAATGCAAGACCAAAGCAGCTTCTATCTATAACTTGCTTTCTGCGACCTTGTGGCAAGCATCTTGCAGTGACCTGCCAAGGAAACTGATGTATCTTGCCCAGGTCAACTGCCTCTCGCATGTTGCATGTAATATTTGAGTTTGCATGCAATTTCTCCGGCATTTGATTGTGTACACTCGTTGACATGCTTGTTTTGGACGCATGTTCTGGCCGGGGTTTTGCACATCGTTTGCTTTGCCCATTCTGTCGTTCAGAGGACCCTCGGAAGATGCGGCTGGTGCTCGAGCTGTGCGAAGGCGAACCGAGCTGTGCGAAAGATGAAGCCAAACAACTAGCGATGCCACCCCATGCCTTTCAAACAACTAGCGATGGCGACCCCCCTTTTTTTGTTATTTCCTCCACCCTAGTAGCGATGGCCTCCACCATGCCTTCTTTTAAGTTCAAGTTTTTTCCTTTGGTCCTTTGATTCCAAGTTCTGCCTTGGAAAAGTGCACTTGTTCGTTGACAAGCTTGCCCAGGAGGGCAGCTCTTTGATCGTCTCGTGTCTCTCGGGCGTTACAAGGCGCAATTTTTGTGGTCGCTTTTGCATGGGGTAGAAACAAGGTTCGCTACTAGGAACAAGTGCATCGCTTCTAGTAACAAGTGCCTTACTAGTAGTAATAAGAAGCAAGTAGGAGCAAGGATGCTACTAGAAGCAAAGGGCATCGCTACAAGGAAGCACAGTTTGGTGCCTTTGCTGTCAGGAAGCCAAGGCTGCATGCGTTGTGAGACAGGTTTTGGAGGCACGGAAGCGAGTGGAATCCCTTAGGTTGGTCTCCAATGTTGCAAACATTGTTCCTAGTAGCGATGCCAGGAGCCCCTAGTAGCGTCCTTGCTCCTAGTAGTAAGGCCAGGAGCCCCTAGTAGCTTCTTGTTACTACTAGTAAGGCACTTGTTACCAGAAGCGATGCACCTAGTATGTATATGATTTATTCTTCTCTCGAAAGCCGAAAACCAGGCCGTGGCTTACATGCACAGCAAAGGTGTCATGCATCGGGTGGCGCCCCTGGTGAAGGAACAAGAAAGGACAAGTCTAGAGGATCTGAAAGGTGCTTCTAGTAGTAACCAGAAGCTATTAGGAACAAGTGCATCGCTACTAGTAACAAGTGCCTTACTAGTAGTAACAAGAAGCTATTAGTAACAATAAGCTACTAGGAACAAGTCTAGAGGATCTGAAAGGCGCCTTTCTTTCTGAGAAATCTCAAGTGTTCCTTTCCTTGTTGCCAAAGCTACTCCGAAACGGTGTCTTTTCCTTAGAATACTGTTTCACAAGATTTCGCATGTTTGATCTGTGGCACATTCCAAGGATGTGAAGCCAGAGAACATTCTCTTGGTCTCACCCGATAGTGATGTGGACATAAAGGCCGCCGTTTTGGTCTCATTTGTGGCTTCAAACACGTTTTGCCGACGAGGTATGTGATTTTGGGATTGCGAAAATGGCTGACCCATGGGACAAGATTGTGATCCCAGACCAGGCAAGGTCAATGTTGGAACTCCGCTAGAGTCGTGAGAAAGGAAAGCTGAACTTAGCGTCCTTGCTCCTAGTAGCGATGCCAGGAGCCCCTAATAGCGTTCCTGTTCCTAGTAGTAAGGCGATCCCCTAGTAGCGTCCTTGCTCCTGTTGCAAGCGCAATTGGTTTGTATGGTTCTTTCGAGGTGATCCAACTTCGAGCAAGGAAACCGGCCCCTCGGGCAACATCCTTCAAGGGATCAGACTACTACCTGGCTCCGGAGATGATCCGGCAAGAAGAGTGCGCACAAGAAGGGATGATAGGGTGCGACTAGAAATGACAAGCTGACACGAGCGTCTAAGCTCAAGATATGTGCGACTAGATATGTGATGGTTGCAGGCCATTGCTACTAGAGCGGAGACCATGCATTGTTATTGTTCCACTCTTTCCAGTGAAAGCTCTTAGGTTTGTCCTCTGGACCCTCGTGTGTCATTCTTTAAGTTTTGATCGCAGGTATGGACCAGAAGTTGACCTGTGGGCTATTGGTGTGACCACCTATTCCTTGTAGTGACCCAAGCTGCTGGATTGTGGTTTTTCCATTTCCTGCCACTGCGCAAAGATCAACCGCGCTTCCCAGGATGAGCGGTTCCTTGCCCTTCGTGGGTGACGGTGGAGATCTTCGAGGCGAAAGCGTCTTCGCCCTGTGATACCTTGTTACTACTAGCTTCTTGTTACTACTAGTAAGGCACCTGTTACTACTAGCGAGGCACTTGTTACTACTAGCTTCTTGTTCTTCATGTTTGAAGAGGTTTTGCCTAATAGCAATCAGAGCCCAATATCAAAGGGCTCCATCCTAGAAGCGATGTCCTCTAACAGTAGCGATGGCCTCCAACCTCCTAGTAGCGATGGCCTCCAACCTTCATGTTGGAAGCCTCATTTTCCTTTAGGTTTTGCCTTGTGCATCAATTGCCAGACATCAAAGTTCAGTCTAGGAACCTCCCCCCGCAGCCTTTTGGGCACTCAATGAGCAAGCAAAAACCGCACCAACTACTCGAGAAAACCAAGCAGCAAATGCTATGTTCTTGAGTCTGGGTTCTGGTGGTTCTCAGCGTTGAATCTTGAATATATTAGATTGATTCTGATTTCGTTTTGCCTTTTTTAATAAGGTCTTTGTTCGACTTGTTTGTTGATTACTGCTTGATTTGGTGTTAAGGGGCCAGGAACCTTGACCTATTATTGGTGTTGAGATTGTCCTGTACACCTTATTGATACCTAGCAATCTTGATTTGCTATTCCGCTTTAATCTGATTTGTCTCAGACCTCATTTAACTGCTCCTCTCTTTATGGCACCAACCCTATCCTCAAAATATAACTTTTCCTATCCTCAATTCTGATTTGTTTGTTCTAGCTCAGTACTTGCTTCTTGCGATTGAGCCCTTTCCATTGTTCAATGGCTTTGCATCATCTCTTGTTTGTTTGTTCTACGGTTCTACGTGTCTTTCATTCTTTGGTCTCTTCTTCACATTCTTGATCGTTGTTTTGTTCACAAGCTGTTCTTATACGACCAACTGACCAATGTCCTGACATCCTGGGAAGAAGGACATGTGGTGAAGCAGTTAGGATAGACTGCATTTTACCGCACCAAAGGACTGTATCACCAACGGACTGTTCACCGCACCAACCCTAGTAGCATCCTTGCTCCTAGTAGTAAGGCCAGGAGCCCCTAGTA